TTTACGCCTACGAGCAGGCAACCGGCCCGACATATCTGTATAAATAGGTTGCCTAGTTCAAGGGACCCCCTTTTCGATGTACATATTTATTTATGTAATTAAAAAAATTTGATATCAGTCAATTTTTAATAACATGTCAACAATTAGAAGTTGAATTATGGTAAATGCATTGTAAAATTTTATGAATATGCAGATGACATACCATTTTTGTGTCCACTAACTTAAAAAAAAAAAAGAAATACAAGAAATACTGTCGTTCGTGCTTTTATATGTAGCAAAATATGAATGCAATGAATGTTATGAATAATAAACTATACTCTTTAACAATTACGGTACTGCTCATTCGTCTGAGAGCAATGATGCATCCCATTTATTACTTGAGGCTTGCTCGTTAGCAGAATCTTTTGATATAGTCGAGTCAAAGAAAAATTCTTCGGGTGCAAAGAGTTAAATAAATAATATTCTTCGCATTCGCTGTGTTAAGCTTGAAAATGCTCCCGTTCGCAAAGGGTTAAAGAAATCGGCAATCTTGGAGTACGTTCAAACTGTTCCTTTCTTTCCGATTGCTCGGTTTATTCGAGCCGCTTATTTCTTTAGAGTGCCGAGCTGGTCGCTTTCAAACCCAAGGTAATGGATGTAACGGTATGACTTAAAATTATTTAAATTAATTTATTTTAGTACAGTAAGCAATTATGCTCATGACTTTAAGAACATCTTGCTATAAACTCCAATGTTTTTAATTATGTAAAAGTCGATATGTTGGCGAAACTTCACAAATGAAATTTAATGTGCTATCGCAAGGCACAACTCTCCAGAAGGGACCAGGTTCTGATTTAAATGGTTGCACGAGACCAACGCATCCTTTTGAATGCGATGGTTCACCTTCAGCCCATGCTCGATACATAAAACATGAAAGAGGTTCTTCTGAAAATTTGTATCATGCGTTAAATTCATCCTTCTTCGATCTGAACGTACGAATAAATTAAAAATGGCATAATTCGATAAAAAAAGAAGTGGTACAGACATTTTAATGTTCTCAAATTACTTGGGAAAATGTGCACTTTGCAAAGGGGTGTGTATCATTTTCGAAAAAAATCAGTGCGATCTAGGTAGCGGGTCAAACAATCAATCTTTTAAGGAAGGAAAGTGCTTAGAAATGATCAGATAATGGAGAGGTGCCATCGACTCGCATTCACTTGCCATTATTTTTTTTGCATTGCCTCTGAGGGATGAAAAAACACCTCTATATACACAAGTCTCCCATCATATTGTCGCGGAGTTGTAAATTAAATTTAAAGAACCGTTTTGGTCTGTTTAAATCGATATATCCTCTAATCTCATTTAATAATAATTTCAGTTAACAAAACAAGAGGAATTAGTAGCCAAAACTTAAATTAAAAATGACATTCCCTACAATGTAGCAAACAATAATCGGGAGGAGCGTTTAGCAATAGGAAATACTGATAAATTTTAAGTACCAAACTCGTTCTTCCAAATGTTCTCATGGTCACGATTGCTGAGTCCAACAAACGTGGGTGCATTTTCCGAGATATATCTTGCGAGACCGTTCGTACGTTCCTCGCTAATTACGTGTGCAAGCGATGCATTCATTTTCTGGCAGGAAATTTGTGCCTGGCTGTAATTCAAGTTATTACTCGAGAACACGAATATTCCTGTCCTAGGGATGCAAGCCAGCGTAAAGTTTGTGTCTAAAAGTAGATTGCAAAACTTTTTAGCTCGTGTATGTGAAACTGATTCGTTATTTAAATTTACCAATAGAAACGTTGTTGGGGTACATGCTATAATATTTGTAATTTTTGTCCTTCACAAATGTCGTGAAATGATGAATTTCCGGACATTCAAGGGCTTGGCACATAATCTTCGATGCTCTGTTACTTCTTTTACGCCGAGTATCAAAGTTCCATTCTGTGTTGATAAAACAAAATCTTTTTGTGGTTAGATCTTTGCAACATAAATTCGTATATGGCAAGACAAAATGAACGAAAAATTCGGAATGTGGAGTAAAATCGTCTTGTACCTTGTACCTGGTTTATTGTCGAGAAAATCAAATTGAAGGAATTGGAAACAGGAATTTCCATTATTCGAATAATTTATAATAAATTTTTATCTGGATAATCAACAAGACCTTATTAATTGATGATTAGTAGTTTATTAAGTGAGCAGTCTGATTTTCATACCAAACAATCAATTGTTCTTCTTACAAAATACGTAGACTTGAGAATGTGTCTTGATTGCAATCTTTCAAGAATATTGAAAATAGTTAAATATTTAAATGAGTTTTTAGAAACACGCTCCCATAGATATCAACTTTAATTAAAAAATATGTCTGCAGCTGTAGTTCTTTCTGAACAATTGATCTTTGATCTCTAACGTTTTATATACCTACGCAAAACTTCTCTCGCATAAATGCATATTGTTATGTTGCATACGTAGCCTAACAATAAAACACTAAAATTTGATCTTACCACGACGATCGGTTTCTAACCCGTAATTAAACGCCAAAGCTTTCTTGGCTAATGCAAACTCTTTGCATTCGTTCACATTTGCGACAGTCGTCCTCGACAGTATCACCTGATTCGAACGAGCATTGGATCTTATCAGTTTGTAATATGGTAACTGTCTGGAATTTATTTCGCAGCAACGATCGGACGAAATTAAGTTTCTTGTTAAGCATGCCGTCGAAACCACCAAAATCACACCCACGCGATTCATTTTTAGGCCCGTACGATTGAATGCTCACGTGAATCTGATCAGTTCGTCGCACATTCCCGATACTTGGTCACAATTCCGCCACGGAAGCGTAATTCAGAGCTAATTAACTTGTACGCCAACGTGACACGCGTACAATGTGAGGACGGAAATAAAACCCCAAACAGTTGGCAGGAATTGAATTTCGATGAAACTTGAGGTAATTAACTGATCGTTAACTAACAGTTAACGAGTAGTTTCGCGTCGTCTCTCGACAATTTAATTACGATAATAAAGGTTAATACTTTTTTAGCCGTCAGGGGCTGTAGCTATGTTTGATTGTAGCTGCAGTACGGGTTTAGCTATCTCGAGGTACCCGAGCTATAGTACTAACACTATGGAATGTTATTAGAATGTTAAGATTCAATATAAGACTGATGTATGATTAGTGTATATATTATACTAATACAATATCGAGCTGTAAATAAAGTAAACCAAAGCAAAATACTTTGTCAACTCAGAATTCTACGTTCTTCGATATACTGACATCAAAATTATACTATTTTGAAAATGCCTGAATTAATGAAACAAAAAAAAATGTACACTACAGAATGTGCCCCTTTGTATCATTTCAACTTTTCTATAAGAAATTTGTCGTAAAATGCATACCTTAACAGTTAATCAAGTTGAGCAAGGGGACCATCTTGTACATTACAAATTATTTAAAGTTTTCCATATCTGTGACGATAGAATTTACTATTATTTACTATATGATTTACTTTTGTTACAATGTACTGTATATGATTGAATTAAAAACAAATAATGTATTTTTTTAATCGGTCAACGTGAAAGCATTTAATGATCTGTTAATAAAACGACATGTTAGAATAAATAGTTTAGAAATTTTGTATAATATTCGACCACATGTTTCGACCAAATTCTGGCCCGTTAAAAAATAGAAGGTACGCGTGAATAGTAGTACTAAAAATTCTGTAAAAAGATATAAAAAATACTTAATAAAATACAATTAATCAAGTACAAGCCTAAGAAAACATATTATAAATTGAGGAACGAAATAATTTGAATGAGGGATATAGTAATAAAGGAAAATGAATTTTAAAATATATACATTTTATTTATTATTTGAAACAGACAGTAAATTTATGAATGATTTAACAGTAATAAATAGCAGCAGGTACTTTCTAGGACATGTCAGATTAGTTTAGAAGTAAATTTCTTCTATATTGCTATTTAGAGCAGGTACTTGAGATTTGCGACGTAGATATCCTATTGTAATTTATAACTAGGCTACGGATTTTACACGTTTATGGCATATACAAATACACGTCAGAAACATACGGTAAACGTATGTAGAATATACACGGATATTATATTAACTTGTGAAATATATTTTGCATACGTTTAACAAATGTTTTTCATAAACTCATAAAATCCGCAGTTTCATTCGTAACAAATTAATGTCAATTAACCCGTTAAGTAATTTTCCTAGAAACTTATAATAGAGTGTTTGATTTACGAAAATCAATGACAGTAAAATATGTATTTTCTATGTTGAATTTCATTTTGAAACCACGGGAAAATCAGATTGAATTATTAGGCGTTCCTAAACGAGAACTTGCATAGTCTTTCGCGTGTTTAAGCAAACAATGGATCGAGCGCTTTCGTCGCCTCTGCGAACACTTCATCCACAGTGCCTTCAGCATTGATCTAAACAAAATGTATCATGGTTAATTTATCATATAGTATATTAGTATTCTATAGTATAGTATAGTATAGTATAGTATATAGTATTCTTACAAAACGTAAAAATAAACAAATGCTTTATATTCGACAATTTACAACCGACTGAAAAGTAAATACTACATTCTACTTGTGCTACTGTTTTGTTGCCTGTGGTACTGAAGATTCGATCAAATTAACTTTATTCAGCTGAAGTTAGACATGTTCTTCTTTTATTGTATAATGAAGGTATACTATGTGGCAAAGATGGGCAAAATCCCTTTCTAGATGCTTGATTCGTATGGCAAATAAATAAACAATAAATAATAAACAATAGTTTATCTAGCTTATATGTAGAATGTACAATTTCAAAATGAATGAATAATGTAATTATTTTTAATAATCGTGAGAAAGATTCATGAAAGGTTTTCTTTCGGAAATAAACTAAAAATTGAATCGTTCGATTAAACAAATTTCATAAATAAATTTCTACATTGTGAGTTTGTTCGTTACCTATTATTCAAATAAAATTTTGCCCATCTTTGTTACGTAGCTAGAAATGTTGTTCTCCTGAATACTTACTCTTACGACTTTGTCCTTGTAATGTTCGACGATCTCTCCGTTTTTCACATTGAATATTTCAATTCTTTTTTTTATCGTTTCCGCGTTATCGTCGGCTCTTTGCGAGACAGCCGCACGACCCATCAGCCTTTTCATCATTGTTTCGTTCGAGACATCAAAGAAAATTATCTTGTCAGCAGGACAAACCTAAATTCATTATGCTCTTTTATGGTATTACCTTAAAAATTTGTTGTCGTTATCAATTCTCAACTCTTTTATGTCAAATATAAATGTCTGAGATAAACTTTTCTTATAATACTTTTGCCAGTTTTAATACGGAAATGTCTTTTAAGTCTAATATTAAATGTCTGCTATAAATTTTTCTCACATGTATTACGAGTACATACTTTGAACGATACTTTTGCCAATTTACATAAGAAAATTTCTAATAAAGTGATGTAGTTTAAGCGTCCCGTCCAAATAGACGAAATTTTTAAATTCGTCAAATTAATTTTTTAAAAATGTCTCCATATAGAGAATGACAAGACGAAACTATTTTGTGTTCACAGTTTATCTCAAAAATTCAAAACTTAAAAGTCCATTACTCGTCGAAAATCTTATAAATTTTGTACAGATACATTGTAAAATTCAGCGATATCTATCATCAAAAAGTCGAAAATCCATCGTACGTTTGCTGTTACGTCTAATTGTAAGTTACGTAATTGATAAAATAAAATGTTGTTCGTTAAAAATCTTCTATGTATTTTTTCTTGAAATCGGTAATTTTTAAGTCCCGAGTAGAGACACAGTTTATAAACATGATACGCATTATACGATGTTCGACGAACCGTAACTTATTGTCAGCCGTAACAGGATACGAATAGGATTTTTAAACTCGATTTTCTGCCACACTAAGCTTTAAATGAACAAATTTTATTTTGTACTTTGTTCTTATTTTTTCATAAGGAACCACCTCGTTCCCGTTAGAACATGTTATTCAGCCGCACCCTGTGTATACGTTCTTCGCTGCCAAAAGATTAATGTAAATGTGAAAAGATACTTGAGCATGACTTGGTTAACGCGTCTGACTATTACTCACTATTTCTACTTGTACTGCTACTGATAAATATGGTTAACGATATGGTATTAACCGACATTAACTAGTCGAAAAACAGGATGATCGACAAAAATTAGATAATTCCACCATAATCCATGTACCATAATCAATTTTTACTTAACAAGGCCGTCATTAGATTTACCAGTGCCCCATTTCAAACCATCCCCTCGTAATTTCCAATGCATGATACAAATTAAAATTTGTAATGTCAAGTTCCATTTATTTTTAAAGTAATTTATATCAGTGAGACCTAATTCAATTGTCATCAAAATCTAAAATTGTCTGTAATAATTATTTTTCACTTCCTCAGTCAAATGGAAGCAAATTTCGTTAAATAACATATAGGAGCAACTTCATGTCGCACTGCGCTAGTAAATTCTTACCTACCACAGTATTAAATATTACAATAAGTAGATGAGTCTTAAACCCAAACCTTCGTTTTCCCCAAAGATCAAAGATAATGATTTCCTCTATAAAAACAAAATTGTTCGATGACTGATACGGTAAGACTTACCTTCTCCTCAAAAAGTTTGCCTTGTTCTAATTCACGAGGGTATCCATCGATGAGGAATCCAGTTTTAGTGGCTCCTTCTTTTTTGGCTTTCTCCATCCGTTCCCTTATGAGGTCCAGCACAATGTCCTAGCGGAAACCATATGATCTTCACACTAAGAAAAGCAAGGTTCGCTCGTACATCACGAGGATCTTCACACATTATGCTAAGCGATGTTACTGTATACCACAATTTTACGAACGATTACACGAATTGCTTTCTTCATATTGCTTTCCATTCGTTGCATCTCGTAAATTTTTAGTAATATCATTTCATTTTCTCCGTTTTATTGTGCGAGTAGTGTACATTACGTTTCTTTAATTCAATTGGAAGGTAACCAATACATACATTTCTGATTGATTTTTCAAAATAAACCCTTCAATTTGATGATGAATGCAATAGACAAACTGTGTTGAAATATACTATTATTATTAAATTATCATTAACACAAATTTTTTGTATTATCTAATATTATTATCTTTATTGGGTTAAGAATATTTATTATATTAATAAACATAATAGGATTAACGTCTTATATTTTATCAATTAATTCAACTTTATCTTTGATATTATGATTAAGATTTATATCTTATGGATGAATTCTTAATGCAAATGCTATTTATATTTATTCACCTTGTATCATTAAATGCGCCTTCTGTATTAATGAATTCTATAATTTCGATGTAGTTTATCTATTGCGTTAAGCGCAAATTAGAGGGTTCATTTCGAAAAATTAAGTAATTATCCATTAGGGTAGTTATTACCCATATTTCAATGATTTCTTTCTTTTTCAATAAGAATTCACAAAATTTTGAATTACCTGAAAAAGAATTTTTGTTTGTGAAAGTTTTATAAAAACTAATAAATAAGTTCATACCTAATACATTTTAAATAATATTACAAACATATTTTAAGTACAGAAAATAACTTCATATTTACTTGGCGCCGCTAACTTGGCGGATGTGTAAGGAAATAATTAGGAAAAAATTTGAAATTTGTAGGGCTATTGATATAGGGCTAGACATTGTTCCTATTATTATAAGTAAAGTATTATTATTATTATAAACTCTATTATTATAACTCTGTCAAATTTCAAATTATTTCATCGACTATTAACGGAGTTATACAAAAAAATGAGTGACCAATTGAAAAAATTTAGAACTTTTGAAGGTTTGGGGCACGTGTTAGTGTTGAAATTAAGAGCTCAAATTTTGCAAGAATTTTTTGTATGTACTTGCTAGATATTCAGCGAGCATGTAAACTAGATATCAAAGATCATTGAAGTAAAAACCACCCTATTATGCATACATGGTTACCTTTTGTTGAATAATCTGAAAGATTATACGTGTGCAGTTCCAGTAACAACGATTATGTCGATACCATAATAGATTTTTAAGGAAACACCGGGTGATTTACACGTGACACCCTGTGTACGATGAAAATATAATATAGGTAATTTACCGTCGGGACGAATAGACCTTTGGACATTAACTCTTGAAGGGAAGCTCCCCTGGGACTGCCACTGGCAACCTCTTCCCTCAAGAGATCACCGCTGCTGATGTGGTACAATCCGTATTTCGCGATTATGCGTTCGCATTGTGTTCCTTTGCCGCATCCCGGTCCACCAATTATCCATATTGTCTTCATGTTTTCGCAGTTTCGTGGCTGTTCCGCGGTGCTCGACACAAGTTCTCTTTCTGAATGTGTCTTACAGAAACTCTTCGACCTCCCTTGCTCCTCGCTCTATCAAGAATTTATTCCCGGGCATTACTTTAATTTCGATGTTGTAGTTTCTTGGTTAAATTTTCCAGACAAATGAGGCACGAATGATTCATAAACAAACTAACTCCGCCCAAGGCATGTTACGCAAGCGTTTTATTTCTAATCGATGATAGAAGAAAAGGAACTTTTGTGTGAAATTGTAGTTTCTTAACTTCTTTTTTTATAATCAATGATATTTTATATATTCTCGGAAATCACTATGATAGATATAGTCCGAACAACATTTACTAGTTAATATAATTTGTGAAATTAACAAAAGAATGCGAAAAGTGGGTAAAAGTATAGAAGCAATAAGTATTTGTACGATTCTTATGACGAACCATTTACAGTAGAATTTGTAACGTAAATACATTAGTTTATTGTTCCGTACGAATTAGAAAACATCAAATTTCTAGTAAAGTACTTTTAAAAAAGGCTCCAATAGAGGAATGGAAGAAGATCCTACTTCGAATAACTAATAATTATTTACTAATAAATTAATTTACTTCATTTAATGCTTAGAAAAGTTACAATAATTATAAAATCAAAAGGAAATCCACAAAGGAAGTATTAGATACTTGTAAATTAATGTAAATTTCTTTCTCTTTAATCAAGTTTTAAAAATTAAACAGTTGTGCGAATACTTATTGCTTCAATATTTCTATCGATTAATTCTTTTTTCCTTCTTAATTTCGCAACTTACATAAATAGCTATTTTTTTTTTGTGCTCTATCTACTCTAGAGATTTCCGAGAATGTGTAGAATGTCATTGTTTATAAAAAATAAGTTAATAAATTACAATTTTACATAGTTTTTTTGGAAATTGATCGGTGTATGAATACTTTCTACACCCACTGTATATCCTATTACATGTTTGTGCACAAGTTCTAATCGTAGATTTCGAAGTATCGAAGACTAATACGACTGTAGAATATCTTCGTATCACGTACCTACATGTACTATATAGTAAACTTTTTATTTTATCTTTGCATATTTGTTTGTGTACGTATTGTAGGAGTCTCTACGAAAAATAAGGTACGGAGATTCGAATCCACGATCCTCCGATCCACAGTCGACCGCTTTTCCTACACGACCAATCCCGCACCCTATAATTCGTGTTCTTGTTTGACTCTTTATTCTTGGATATGCAATATGTATATAAACATCAGAATATAGTATGTTTAGCAAAAGATGATTTTCTTTGCAATGCTTTCATATAAGTTACAATTATCAAAGCATCGACTGCTAAACAAAAATTACAATTAAATATAAAACAGTGCTCTGTGTACATTGTAAGGTAGAGAAAAAGTTAACTACTAGAATTTGGAAGAAAGTTCGTTTTATAAACTTGAATAAAATTTTCTGTAATTTTAAGTATCGCTGTATTGAGAGTTTTGGCCATTTCCAAAATACTTGGCCTTGTTATTTATACTGTCTCGATCGATGTACATACTTTGTCTCTTCTATTCTCTCTCTTCGTGTTTCCCTTGAACTTTAAGGCAATTTTCATACATGAGCGTTTCGCAGTAAGATTGAACGTTATGCATTAGGCACAGCCCAGTGGCTATATAAATTTACGTTGATATGCGTGGCGGTGATATAAATAGTTAATAGCAATTGTCCGTGGTCTTGTGTATAAATGATACATCATCGTATACTATTTTCTATTTTAAAATGATGGCTTAATTGCATCATTTCTAAATTAAATAAAAATACGTGAATACTCGTAAACTAAATAAAAAATGCAGATACTCAGTACAATCACTGTTCGCAGTAGCAATATTATAATAATAATATTCAAATATTATTCTCATTAATGGTGAACTGAATAATAATATTATAACGATAATATTATTCGAAATAGTAAATGCTAGTACCAATCGCTTACGTTTTCCATTTTTTCCTCAATTCGTAAACATCGATTGTAATTTTATTTTATAAATACACGTAAATGTACATTTTTTTACATATATGTTTTTTTCCAATAAACGAATTGCATTGTTTTTGTATATTATTTTATTAAATCTCGATGTGTATCCATATAATTTGCCTAAACGAAGAATCGTATTTGTTTATCTCGAATGATTTACAACATTTTTACCATACTATCGCGAAACAGTATCATTTCAATGATGTAGCGACAAGTATACGTATTATGTGCTTCTCCTAATGAGGAAACTGAAAATTGGCGCGACCACCGACAAAAGTATGTTTGATAAAAATCATATGCAGCCTAGTTAGATGATACAGCAAGGTTTTTCTTTTATTTCAACCGAAGCTTGCATAACACTTAAATAAATATATGTCAATGAAATAAATATTGCGTTTTATACATTCATAATACATACATAATATTCTACGTATAAATGTAATAAAATTGTAAGAAATTATTTAAAAGATTTAGAGGAGAATGATACATTAAAAGTTACGAGTAGGTCACCCAAACATCATGAATTAAATATTATTGAACATGTCTGGGAATATTTGGACAGAACTCAAGGCAAAAGCGAGCCCAAAAATGTTTGAGATATTACGAACCAAAACATTCCAAGTAAAATAATTAAAAATGATATGAATGTTGTTCTAGAAGACGCAGTCGCAAAGGTAAAAGGAGTACTAAACATTCAATTCTTCTCTGAATTTATAGTGTTTCTATCTTTTCTCAGACTGTATACTGTACAATAATATTGGTAAAATATAATATTAGGTGTGGAAATTAATTCTCTGTCTTTCTAAACTAAACCTACCATTTATTTGTAAAGGGAAACATAAATAATTAAATGCAGAGCTACAGAATTAATTTCTACATCTAGTAATTGCCAAGTCCACTTGTAATCTGTCAGAAGAACAATCATGAGCAAAATTCATTACAATGAAGATTAGGTACACTCAAAAGTTTGGTACTCTAACAACAAAATGACGAGCGAATATTTCTACTTAAACTAGAATTATAAATGTGTGAATGTAAAGATACAGAATTAATTTCTACACCTAATATATTAACTAAATCAAAATTTGTACTCTTTCTTTAGCAGTAAAAATGTAAAAGATGTAATGTATCGTAAGTGAAATTACTGTCAATTTAAATTAATGTATACTAATATATCCTAAGGAAATCCTTTTCCAGCAGTTAAAGTATTAATTATCGTAAGTACTATTCCATATAACGCGTACTAAATAATTAAATAGCGATGAAATTTAAATAGTAAAACCGGTACAATTAGAGAACTCCTTAGGATTACGTACTATTCGAATAACTTTACTGTAACTTTACATTTAACAATAAAGTGGGTACACTTGAAACACACGTGACCGTATACTTACTACTCGCGATGCGACACTCTCGAGATTTCACTGTCGACTGCTCAGTCTCAGCAGCTGAGAGGAACAAGGAATAGTAAAAGCTTTCGAGCTTTCGCGTTAAAATTTCGAACATATCGATTTGTCATTGGCTCGTCGTCATCAGGTGGGAGTTATTTTCACGCATGTGCACAGTTGTAAGGTCAGCATCTTGCGCGCAAGATAGATACAGTATGTGTAGTTTGCGCGAACTATACAGGGTGTCTACGTATAAGTCCGGACATACGCAGGGTGTCAATTTTACAACAAATTTCCAACAAAAAATTACTCTTAGACATTTCCTTTGTGTCGCCTTATTCTCGAGTATTTTCACTTTTAATATTTTTTCTCTGTTTTCGACTTGACACTCTTTACACGGCCATAACTCCACTAAATTACGGTGCAAACTTAAAAATCAGTACACCATTCGAAAGAGCGTTAAATTTTCCAGCTCCTTGATGCAAAATCAAAATTTATTACGTAGGGTTAATAAGTGAAAAATTAGGTCAAACTTTACATTGTGACAATTAAAAAAATTTTGACTTTTTCTCTATCCGTTTTTCGGTTTTAAATACATAGTTGTTTGGCGAGCACTCCTCGGGAAAAACTTCCTCGAAGTCTCAGTTTTTGAATGGGATTTGAAGATGAACAATAATTCTACGGTGGTATTTTAGGGAGAAAATGACTTTTGAATGCAGAAAACGTGTGGGTTTTTAGGTGAAAATCGACATTTTTCAACAAAAATCGACTCGTCACTTTAAAATTAGCTTGACATCGGGTTTGATGTATTTTTTGGTAACACTCCCGAGTCTTCCCAATTAGGAAAAAAGCTGGTTTTTTTATATCTCAAGGTTCTGTTTTTTTTTTCAATAAATTATTTTTTTCAAATTTAGACTCTTTTATCCGATCCCCTGTGTCGAAAACATCGATTTTTTGCTTTGTGAAATCGATCGTGTTCCGATCTCTATATCATTTATCGGTACACCGAGGTAGATTTTGACTATTAAATAGTCTCTAAAAATGAAATTCTATGGATACATGTTCAAAAACAATTATTATTCACCTCTTACTCAGGTTTTACACGCGGCTGGGAGACGCTTGACATGTAAAAAAAACTAGTTTTTTTTCCTAATTGGGAAGACTCGGGAGTGTTACCAAAAAATACATCAAACCCGATGTCAAGCTAATTTTAAAGTGACGAGTTGATTTTTGTTGAAAAATGTCGATTTTCACCTAAAAACCCACACGTTTTCTGCATTCAAAAGTCATTTTCTCCCTAAAATACCACCGTAGAATTATTGTTCATCTTCAAATCCCATTCAAAAACTGAGACTTCGAGGAAGTTTTTCCCGAGGAGTGCTCGCCAAACAACTATGTATTTAAAACCGAAAAACGGATAGAGAAAAAGTCAAAATTTTTTTAATTGTCACAATGTAAAGTTTGACCTAATTTTTCACTTATTAACCCTACGTAATAAATTTTGATTTTGCATCAAGGAGATGGAAAATTTAACGCTCTTTTGAATGGTGTACTGATTTTTAAGTTTGCACTGTAAAGTAGTAGAGTTATGGCCGTTTAAAGAGTGTCAAGTCGAAAACAGAGAAAAAATATTAAAAGTGAAAATACTCGAGAATAAGGCGACACAAAGGAAATGTCTAAGAGTAATTTTTTGTTGGAAATTTGTTGTAAAATTGACACCTTGCGTATGTCCGGACTTACACGTAGACACCCTGTATGTAACCGTGTACACGAAAATCATTGTACTTGGCACCATCATCTTCCTAATAACCCTAACCCTGAACGTACCGCAGAATATAAATTGACCCTTTGTACTCGAATTATACAGGATAGAGTTGTTCAATTTTTTCAAAAATGCACGTTTCCTTGAAGTTTCCCATTCAAGTAGCACGAGAAAGTAAAAAAAAACAAAATATGTTATATTATACTGAGACATGTACAAAAACATGTACATTGATGTTACGTAGAAAAAGAATGTGTGACACTTGAAGAAAGCGAGAGAAAGCATTTATATAAGGAAGATAGTGTACGAGCACACTTCATATAAAGTGGTGTAATTTGAGAAGATAAACAAACATGTTTAAGACTTTAGCCAACGAGAGACTCTCGACAAATATCGATAATCTCGATATCTAGAGATACTAACCAAATATCATTATAATAAATCACATGCTTTCAACGGTACAGTTTGCACATTTTGCAACGAGATAGCTTAGAGTACGAAAAGTTACAATAAAATTGTAAAAACAATACAGTTTCAGACTCTAACTGTATTATTCTTTGCATAGTATTATTTTAATTCTTCGAATGTAGAATTTATTTTTGTTTACCTCGTTAACGCGACTGTCTTGATCCGAAGCGTATGCAAATACACGATTTTGTTGATGTACACTTAAAATAAGAAGCGTCGTGCAACACAGGATATACACTTTTTTTAACTATACGTCGACATGTGTTTCAAAGAAATGTATACATCGCTCAAAGGCTGTAACGCGACTAAAGCAGACTAAAGTAAATTCGGTAGTTTAGCTCTTTCGTGAGAGATAACTGGTTGTGTGGCATCAGACAAACAGTATAAATATATACTATTTGAGCTAGTAGAGTATACAGTTACAACGGCTAAAAATAAATAAGCGGAGAATGTTGAATTCTAGTTTCTATTCGCGTAATCAGGCCACGAATTATACCAACGAATTATAATATCATAAATATGAACAGACATTGTCCCCTGCGGTATAATATCGTAATAGATGAAAATATTTTCTTTTTTTCGTTTAAATCAACGCCATCTATTGTTCGTTCAGAAAAACACGAGGTCGTGATAAGAAAACGGTAGTATCAATTGTTGCATTATCGTAATTAACATTTAATCTAATTGTAACATGAATGGTAATTGTAACATAGTATAAGATAGCAATGTCTAAGCTAAACAAATTTGTTAATTGTAGTCAAACAGTAAATTGCTTTAATCATAATTAAAAACAGTGAACTATACAATTTTGAAACGCTTACTCTAAATATTTTCTTTCGTTAACTACTACTTCTTTTAAATAAACGATATTAAATGTATGTTAAGATATGTTATCTTATATTCAGAAGATTCAAAAGATAGATTCAGAGAATATGAATGGTTGGCAAGTTTGAATTCTAATTTCTGATTGGTCGTTCGTTTCTAACATGTCTACTTCCGGAAAGTCTTGACGCTTGTATCCTGGCAGAATCGTCTCGAATACGATTTACAGGCATTTACAGGTTAGCGAAGTAATTGTGCTCGTGCATACAGTGAGTGAAATTAAGAAAAACCGGGTAATCGTAAAATAAACAGCAAAAATGGTAAGTTATAAACAATATTTTTAACTCGGCAATAAAATGCGTACAGATTTCGTTTATTGATATTAACATAAATTTATATTACTAATTTCGCTGGAAACCGCCTTCTGTCTATAAGGATACAATAAAAGAAATACATTTTGTCTCACAAAATAACGATTCTTTTTTACAATAGTTAACAGAATTATTCGGATATATGGATGTATGTACGCCAAAGATAAATTAATCCGCGTGAAAATGACGTTGTATTATAGGTTCGGTTGTTCTAACCTTATATGGAGATTAATTTCGGTTTACTCCCACAATGTGCATGTGGAAGATATCTTACTAATGGGATAGCTATTTGCTTATTCTTACTGTAAACTAATCGATCATACTTGTAATCAACATTTCACGTAGTAACAGAACAATGAAATACACGTTAATTCTTAATTCATTTGTCTTGTAAAATTTAACAAATTTCGCAAGAAACTTAAAATCACTATTTTACTATACAATTGCACGTATATTTAAATAATATAAATATCAAAGATGGGAAGATACATGAGAGTATATTACTTTTATTATTATTAACATGATTGTTATTGTTAATAATTATGGAAGATTATTTGAACATGTTTTTTTCAGCAACCTCAAATAATTTTACTCAAGGAAGGCACTGATGCCTCACAAGGAAAACAACAACTGATATCAAATATAAATGCATGTCAAGTAGTGGTAGATGCCGTGAAGACTACTTTAGGTCCTCGAGGCATGGACAAGCTTATCGTGGACCAAAATGGAAAAGCCACTATTTCAAACGATGGTGTAACTATTTTAAGAATGTTGGAAATTGTTCACCCAGCGGCAAGAACATTGGTAGATATTGCCAAATCTCAAGATGCAGAAGTAAGTAATACTTTATAGATGCTATGTATATGTAAAATCAGAAAAATGCAGGAATAATATATAATTAAATGACTATATAAAGACAAAGTAGGGTAAATGTTTAAATACTGAGCAGAATGAAAGAGGAAATTGAAGTCATAAATTTTAGCTAGAAAAAAGCTGAAAAATCAACAACATGGCAACACCTATGCTGTTTCTTCATCTATCCTAAATAAAATTCTTATTAGGGGTTTGTCCAGGATAGATAATAAAATATATATATATTACCTCTGTAACATAATAAATTGGCAATGTAATAAGTAAAAACATTGTTAATGTTCTTGCAGAGAACAGCACAGTTGAGAACTTGAAGACTGATAACATTTCAAAGATAGATAGTTATCTCAATAAAGTTCAAACATTTTATTAAAATGTTTTATTTTCCTTATAATATTTTAATTTCTGTTATAGGTTGGTGATGGTACTACAACTGTAGTTTTACTAGCAGGAGAATTTTTGAATCAAATGAAGCCATTTATCGAGGAAGGAGTTCATCCACGTATCATGATTAAAGCTCTTCGTCTTGCACTTCAAGTAGCAATTGATAAAATAAATGCATCGAGCGAAAAGATTAACGAAGGTTGTGTAGCAAAGATACAAGAAGTAGCACAACGCTGTGCAGAAACATCTCTGAATTCAAAGTTACTTCATCACCATAAACAGTTTTTTAGCCGTTTAGTTGTGAAAGCAGTAATGACACTCGATGACATGATGCCCCTTAACATGATTGGCATTAAAAAGGTAATTTGATTTAGAAAAACCTGTAACTGAGAAAATATGAAATATCGTTTTAACATATCTTAAATATAGGTTTCTGGAGGAGCACTAGAAGACTCAGAATTAGTTAATGGGGTGGCTTTTAAAAAGACGTTTTCTTATGCTGGATTCGAGATGCAACCCAAAAGAACTGAGGGCGAGTGTTTCATTGCTTTATTGAACATAGAATTGGAACTTAAAGCAGAAAGAGACAATGCTGAAGTACGCGTAGATAGTGTTGCGGAATATCAAAAAGTAGTTGATGCTGAATGGCAAATTTTGTATGACAAACTTGAAAAAATTCACAAGAGCGGAGCAAATGTTGTATTATCGAAATTACCTATCGGTGACGTTGCTACGCAATATTTTGCAGACCGAAATAAGTTCTGTGCAGGCAGAGTTCCTGACGAGGATTTGAAAAGAACTATGAAAGCTTGCGGTGGTTGTATCTTAACAACAGTACACGATATTAAGAAATCTGATCTTGGTAAATGTGCATGGTTTCAGGAGAAGCAAGTTGGTGGAGAAAGGTATTTAGATAAAGCATTAAGTAATCAATATACATTGAAAGTATGCCGATAACAGTTACTATATTAAATTACTTTGTTCCAGATTTAATTTCTTCTATGAAGGAGCAAATGCTAAAGCGTGCACATTTATACTACGTGGGGGTGCTGATCAGTTTTTGGAGGAAACTGAAAGGTCTTTGCACGATGCTATCATGGTTGTAAGACGTATGCTTAAAGCCAATGCCACCGTGGCTGGTGGAGGGGCCATGGAAATGCAGCTGTCCAAAACTTTGCGAGATTTTTCTCGACTTATAGAAGGAAAAGAACAACTTTTAATTGGAGCGATAGCGCGTGCACTGGAAGTTATACCAAGGTATGTTCTATATTATCTTTAAATCTTACATGGTCATATTTGTAGTTTCAGTCGTATGTAGCATAGATATTTACATAATTATTATAATTTTCAGACAATTGTGTGACAATGCTGGTTACGATGCAACAAATATTTTAAACAAATTGCGACAAAAGCAGCACAACGGTATGCACACCTATGGTGTTAACATTTTGAAGGCAGATATTGGTGATAATATGGATGCATTTATATGGGAACCTGCTCTTGTAAAAATTAATGCACTGACAGCTGCAGTTGAAGCAGCATGCCTTATCTTATCTGTGGATGAGACTATAAAAAATCCTAAAAGTAGTCAAGATTCACAAGGTCAAATGGGTCGTGGCATGGGAAGAGCGATGTAAACGAAACTAATTCTTTCAGCTTGAAAAAGAATGATAAGCTTATAAACTAAATATTGATAATACATGCATCAAATGTATTGCCACAATCCGCTTATACCATTAAGAATCACTGTAACATCTAATACAATTTTTGCATACATCTTTCTTATGTTGTAATATATGATAAAATAGATTTCGCAATTTCTAACAAGTATTTTAACATTTCTGTCATTAAAATTACAAACAATGAAATTTACTACTTTACTGTACTTCATATGTATGATTTAAGTGAACATTACACATTTTTGTATTTATAAAGTCACCATAATATTGATTTTATTGTATAATTTTATTTTAAACAGAAAGATTAAATTAATTTTCCATATTTGAACAAATTGTAATAACTTGTTAATCTCATTATTAACATACAGAGACGATAATCGTTTATTTAATTATTACATTATAAACATTTTCAAATTTTTAAACTTAATAAATTAACATTTTTTACAATATATTCTTTCCTACATCTTATAAACTAGACATTTTAATAATAAATACATTTTTTTTTTTAATTAACATGTTAAAAATAAAGCTATGCGTACAACAATTTATCGTTATAGAGGAGCATTTCTCAAACTTGGAATCACAAACAATTTAGTGGAAAAAAAGAAAGCATACATACTTACATATATATTGTGAGATAAGAAAAATGCTTTCTATGTTTTTACTTACTATTTTTCTCGTGAATAGATATTTCCGTATTTATTTAAGGAGACGCTTTAGCGAGAGTTTAGAAATCATTAGATTACGCTTAACTATAAAAATAGCATTGTTTTTGTTACAATTTTGACTCGAGAGACTTTATAACATATTTCGATATCGAATTTGAGCTATCATCGCACTGTGAGCAGGTTCGAGTACTAGTGGCGTTATCGGTGAGAAAATGTCCAAGTTTATACTGAAAATAGTTTCCACTGTACATACTAAATGGTGCATTAACTAAAGGATTAATAATTATTTCTGGATTTACATATGTAAAAGCAGATAAATGTTTAAAATAATATATTGTAGTGGATGTACCAATGGAATGTAGTTATTGTAGTTTCTGGATGCACCATTGGAATACCGCTACTTGTAGACAACTTCGTTTGGGTACCAGTTATGTGACAAGATGCAACCGTGACTATGTTCAAAACAGTCCGTATGAACTGTATATTGTGTTTGTAAATAAAACGTAAAGTGACCTTTGATTAGGAAAAAATACCAAATTTGCGCAATTTGTTAATTGTACAAAATACGTAACAAATGCTTCGAATTAAAAAACGAAACTTCAAGCAAGTGTTAAAAGGGGAAACTACGTGGCAAAGAAAAATTATTTCAAACTCCAATTAAATAGAAGGCAACCGCTGAACCGGCAAATATGAAAACTGAAATCTCATGGAAACGTCGTTTTCTTCGAAAAAAATTGAAGTATACATTAATCTGCGTGTTCGTAGCCGCTATTATTTTCGTTGCTCATCAGTTATTTTATTTTAAACAACTTAACCAAGCAATCGTAGGCAAATTAATTAGTGGCTCTGTACGAACACCTAATTACATTGTTACTGGTAAAGTGGACTCGAAATGGAATGAACCATTGCATTCCAAGCTTCTTCGTGATAAGGATGGTAGAATTGTATCATTACGTGGTACACGTGATCAAGATATTTCAAAATATTTGCCAAATGCGCGTGGAAAATTTGTTTGTTTTACTTCAAAGACAGAGATAGACTTCTCTAAAATTAATGACAATTATTGTGATTGTCCTGTTGATGGTAGCGATGAGCCTGGCACCAATGCATGCAATAATGGTTTCTTTAATTGTGAAATCTCGTCTACACAATTTACAGGTATTAAATCACTTATATTTTATTATATATTTGTTTTTATCCTATGATAATAATAATACCAATCAAACCTCAGTGAAGATACCATCATACAAAGTTAACGATGGATACTGTGACTGTTGTGATGGATCCGATGAATGGGCAGAAGTTAAGTTATCGCACTTAAATAATGGTAATTAATTTAATTAAAAAATCAGTGTGTGGGTGATTGAACAATAGATGATTACAATAGATATTAATTGAAAAAATTCTTTTCAGAATCCAGGAGCATAATGTACTATCATACTAAGTGTCAAAATAAATGCTAGTACAATATAATTGAAACAACTTTTAAAACATCAAACATCTAATATAAAATATTTATTTCATGTGAATTTTCCTGTTTTCTATGAATTGTGTTACATGAATAATATTATGTTGTATATAAAGTTTTGTAACATACAAACATTGTTTTAAATATTTTATTTTAAATTTAAATTATTCTAAAACTATTTAGAAATATTACACAATTGACATATCATGAATGCATTCAAAAATATATTTACAGGTTACTTTTTTCATGCAACACATTAATGTATTACATAAAATTAATATTTTTACATTAGGTTATAATATTATAGTGCAGAATTAAAATAAATAAAATCTTCCAATAATGTAAAAATTTATATGTACTGTAATGATATTTAAAATATTTAACACACAGTTTAATACTGTTAATTAGTATTTATTAGAATTCATTACTTCTAAGTAGGATCAGTAGCTCGATATTCTGCTGTGTGATCTCCGACAACCGTAAGGATTTTAAAATGATTTTCTAAACTTCTCGGTTTGTCGGCAAAATGTAAAGTTCTCTTTACCGGAACATTCATTGACATTAAAAGTGCACAAAATTGACGTTCCTCTTGGCGAATCCATTGACGATAAGGATCCTGAACTTGGTACGGTGTAACATGTACATTAACATCTATTCCTACAATAATATATGAAGTTTGAAAAGCAATGCTGCTAGAAAATTAAGAAACGTTTCTTTAGAGAATTAGTATATTACTCAAGTTCGAAAAATATCTCAGTATCCATATGTCTGTAATCCATGCATCCTTTAAACCTCCATGTCCACCATCTAACCACCACATACTTTTGATGAGTTTCACAAAGTTATTAAATTCAGTACTACTAAATTCAGTATTATTAATTTCAGTATTAGTTTCACTCTCATATTCCTTTTGGTAATAATAGATCTCATAAAGTAATTGGTTCAATACAACACAGCCTTTGCTGAAACCTACTAATGATAATTTTGCTTTCTCAATACTAAACTGAGGATCCTAAAAATTCAAATATTCGCTTCTATTAAAAATTACGATTTATAGTTTAATGCAAAAGGTGTGACTTGAAATATACCTCGTCTATATTACTTGCTTTAACAAGTTCTAAAGAAGATTTTAGTAATTCTTGTAAGTGCTTTAAAGCATTATGGTTTAGAGTAATTGATGGAATGCCATATTCACTCGATGGTACAAAATTATCAAAACAGCTAAACATAGCACAACTTGTTTGATACATTCTAAAACAATATTGAAAATGATAAAAAGAATACATAAAACAGATTATCTTGGCAATTTTTTATAAGCTTTACCTTTTTGGTCGAACAACAAATATGTGTTTATTGGGAAAATTTACTGTAAGTATTTTAGCGGTATTTTCTAGACTCCATTCTATATATTTTTTACTATCTGCATGTTGCTCCATATTTTCTTGAATATCCTATAAAATGATTATAATACTTTGAAGAATATATTGTAAATATTTATTTCATGATTACTATCACAATAGTACTGTTATTAACTGTATACCTGTACATCACCTCCCCAGTATACAAGAATGTCCTGACATTTTGATAATTTTGGAGGGGAATAAATTATATCGTTACACCGACCAGCGAAACCGGAAACATTTTTCCAGATTCGAAGTTTCAACGACATAACTTTTGGAAAATTAATCTCATATAAATCTAAAATAGAAGTTCATGTAATAAATATCATAAACAGATATTTGAACTTTCATCATACGTTTTTTTAATATATTCAGCAAATAAATAAAGTCACCAAAATATTGATTATATATGTTTTAATTTGTGATTTCATTTCACCTGATTCAAGTATATTTAATTTTTTACATTCGCTTTATTGTTATATAAGTTTTTCATAATTATTTAATATTTACATTAATTTGAAAGGAATTGTTTGAGTACGCTCAACCTCGGTGACTACACACGCCATTTTGAGAGCATTTGTTAAGAAAATCTCAATAAGAATTGACATACAATTCATTTCCGTTAAACTTTAGAGTACAATTCATTGTAAACCTTACCTATGGGAGTGTACGAGATGTGGCGGGTTATATATACATATGTACACATATACATATGCATACGTAATTTGACAAGTACGCGCGTCACATTTAATCAGATATTGCTTATTTGCCATGAATGCAAGATTCTACCATTCCTTACTTCATACCACTACAATACAGTAGTTAATATGTGAAATTTATTATTTTGATGAATAGTTATAAATATAAGCAGCAATAAATATGAAATTTTAGTTAATTGCACCATCTAGCTACAATAGTGAGAACTATTTCCATCACAAACTTAGGCATTTACCCACCGATGGCGCCACATGTTAATTCTATTAAATTATTACAAGTATGTTAGATCAATGAATTTGTCTAATCAAATACCATCTTATTATGGCAAAAATATTAAGGTTCTATTTAAGACAATTAATTTGTATGTATTTTATTTATTTAAAGAGTTACCGTCTACATACCAATTTCGGAGACGACGGCGCTGTTATTTGTCTACTTGTGTTTCTCGCCATAGAGCGGCGCGGATGAATACGTCATCTGATAGACACGCGGTGAGCGTGAACCCCCGGTGGTACACGGCGGCCGGTGTGAACGTGTTAAAAAAAAAATATATTGTAAAATAGCATCCAAAGATTTCAAACAATTTAATTTAATAATCTAGAAAAACATTAATTTTTTTTTAGTATTTCATATCATCATTATATATCTTCTGCAATTTTTTTATAAATTACCTCAATTATACTTATGTTCACCATTCATTTTGTTGACCGTAAACCGTCCAATATTTATCAACTATTTTTTTCTTTAAATGTACTACGCAATTCTGCGATTCACTAAATATTAATTAATCTTATTTGCATTACCTCTATATTCTTTAGTAATCAAATTTATATTGATGTATGCTAGTACACAGTACATTGTTGAATCGTCATATTCCTCCAGCATGATTCTCATGCAAAATAGAATTATCACAGATGTTTTTGATGTTTCTGAACAGTGTGAAGTAAATATGAGAAATCTTACTTTTTTATTCTTAGTTTTAAGTGTTAAATGTAAATTATGCGTGGTCTCAGAACTATTTCGAAATTGAATTTCGTCGCGAATAAAGTTCAACAATTGTTACGTAAGACTTAAACACAGCCACCTCTAGTAGTAAAGGTGGCTGTGACTTAAAACGAAAATAGTAAATGTCGAATCTAACTTTTATAAGACGTTAATAATTCAAAAATTCGTTGATAGTGTTTAAACAGTTCGAATTATAATTATATTCGTAATATGTTCTTCATAACCTAGTTTTTCACACATTATTCACAGTTTCAAGAACATTTAAAACAAGTCTAATAATGCAAGATGTTGAAGATTTAAATAAAACAGTATGGGATCCCCTTGAAATATTTAATTGTTCCTCTCGTTACAAGTATGCCGTAGTCATATTGAACAGTCCCCTTTTGTGGAAAAATTACATTTTGTTTCAAATTTGGGAAAAAGGTATGTTTTCTCTCTATGAAGATATTACATCATGGAAAGTCTTGAAAGCCATGCTTGATCATTTTTATCATATACATGTATGTATTGTTTAGCTCAGATTAAAGTTACTGTTGATGGTGGAACTCAAAGGTGGTTACACTATTTAGAAAAGCAGGGTATAGATCTACTAACTGGAAAATATAATGAATACATGCCAAATTTAATTACTGGTGATATGGATAGTTGTTCACCTACGGTTCTCGACAAGTTAAAATTCATGGGACCAACGATTGTAGAGACACCTGACCAGAATCATTCGGATTATACAAAAGCTCTACTTCAGTTAGATGAATATGTCAGCAATGAAAATATAAATGTAATATTGATTGCATTACAAAATTGTTTTATTTATAATTCATATCTAATGATAGAAATATTATTGTTTCTAGTTAAAGGCAGTGTATGTGTTCGTAGAGTCTTCAGGACGATTTGATCATATCCTAGGAAATATTAACACGCTTTATAAAAGCGATAAACTTATCAGACACGTTCAGGTAATTATTACATTTAATCCTTCCAAAATGTTTTATTCCGTTTGCTGAATTCTATTTATTCTAGATTATTCATGTTGCCAGCAATTCGTTAACTTGGATTTTAAAGCCAGGTTTTCATAGTATAAGGATTCCGGATATTTTGGTGCAAAATAATAGCTGGTGTGGACTTTTACCAATTGGTGCACCTGTTAATTGTATAACAACAACTGGTTTAAAGTGGAATTTAAGTATGTATTAGTTGCTCTAATAAAAGATAAATACTTGAGTTATATAAGACTACATATTCAAGATTAGAAGTAGACTAGAGTAGAATCTGTGAACAAAATAATGTAATAAAAAAATGTTTCAATTTTCAGATAATGCAACTATGCAGTTTGGAGGTTTAGTAAGCTCTTCGAATACATATGATAATTGTTCTGAAGTAACCATTGATACAGATTCACCAGTGATATGGACTATGGGTATCAAACCACTTGTAGAAAACATGGATAGTCATGGAATATTAACATTTAATTCAGATCCTCATTAGAAAATGACAATATATTTAACACGATTTTTATTATATTAATTAGTTTTCAATACATGCAGTACCTGAGGTTTTTGCCACAATATTAAAAATTTTACTTGCAAGAAGCACAATATTAACATAATTTAATCTCAGAATTAACATGTTCACTACAGCGGTGGCATATGTATCTTGTACTGGATTTTCCCTCATTGCGTGCTAAAATAGTATTTTCATCATTTTTCCACTATTTTTATTGAAATTTTCTAATCTACAGGCATACAATTTGCATTTTATCGTTAAATGTGAAAACGCAGTGCGGACAGTAATCGATCCGTACTGTTAAATACTAATTAATGAAAAAAGCTACAGCAGTGAACGTGTTGACACATTGCGGATCAGAAATTTTATTTCTAACCATACCTAGTGGTCGGGCGACGTAATATGAAAGACAAGATATCTAGTCAGCCGTCCGCAATGTGTTAAGTATAGTTGATATGTAAATAATTTACAAAAATGTTGTTCGATTGTTATAATAACATATTCAATATGTTAGTTAAGAGAATCTAATGGTACATATTATCTACTGTAAGCAAGATTTTAGAAGTTTAATATTCCTCACTTCGAAGAAACCCCGAGAATCTTATGTAATAATTTTTGCTTGCTATAGGTGAGTCAAACGTAATTATTCGCTGAAAGTTATCATGTAGATATTCTTGATATACACTTATATACCTCGATATACAAGTATTTACAATTACATGCTCTCTATATCATCAATAAATATATAATTATTTTATTAAAACTTTAATGTTTTCATATTATGTTTAACTAATAATAGCATGAAATTTACGTAATTAAACAAAAATTTGTTTTAATAGACCAACGTGTGTTTCTGCAAACAAAGTGTTATTAAAATAATTTCCGATGTTTTCCTATCGTATATATTCGAAAGTAAAAGTTCTGATTTAGAATTCTCTTCGTATTTGTCAATCTCTTCGTATTTCTTATAATCAGCTTTAATTACATATGGAATCTTATACATATTAGTCTTCCAATCATGTGTTTCTTGATCGCCTCATTGTGGTTACATAGTTTTCTTTCATAGAATGGCAGTTTGCTTCGTAATTTACGCATTCTTATCTTTCAGTACTAATTAATGATTGAAATAATTGTATTTGGTTTGTTTAATAATAAAACTTCTTATTGGTTTTCAAATTTTTTTGTTAGTTTTTTTGTTAGTAAAACAATACATCGATGTGTAATGTTGTTCCTATGAAAAGTTACACTTTTTATTTTAACGTTCAAAATTGTGGCTCTTCATTTTAGACTTGCGACAATGTCCTAATGATTGAATATATAGTAACATTGATTATTTATATTACCATCATAAGATATTTCTGCTACAATATCGGTCGATTTTTACCTCCATAAAATTTTTACAATTACTTATCTAACAAGTGTAATGTCCTAAATTAACAGTCTTAACGTTTTCACATACACATTGAGCTTTATTAATTTTATTTCATAATATCTTTTTATTTACTTTTATTTTTTATTATTAATACACAGTATTTGTAGTCATTACCATAAGATACTAGTACTACATTATCGATTGATTCTTATCTTCATAGAATCTTTACAATTAGTGTGTTCTACAAGAAAACAATAAACTGAAAAAAGTACAAGAATATCCCTCCAAAAGAATGGAGTAATTTAAATTGACTGAATGAAAATTAATTTAATTGAACGCTAATGGTATTGTGCTACCGTATTGGTAATTAAAATTTTTCCATCTTTGTGAAAGTTTCTCCATAAAGAGGGTAAACGAGGCTATATTTCCAATATCTTCGAATTTTGAAAAGTGACCGTCGTTTACAAATAAGGCATTTGTTTGAAACAATTAAAAAAAAATTATTAAAAAAACTTTTGTTTAAACTGAAATTATTTTTTTTTGATATTCTTATATTTGCTCTGTAAACCCGTGAAAGCTTATTTTCATCCGCTGGCTGGTTCGATAGTTATAATTTATTGAAAAAAAGACAGCACAAAACTTGAAACTGTTGTAAAAGCGACACTTTTAAAATGTTGCAATACGGGCAGAATGTTTCATTTTCTTCATCTAATGATCTGTTCTTCTTTCTTCTTTCATCTTGTTTCATTTAAAAAGTGTCCGACTCTTGTGATATGACTTTATAAAATAAAGAACGATACCAATGCTCTCTCTACTAATAATACTCTTCAGAAAAAGTATAAAAATATTTTTGTTGAAACATATTCAAATCTCGTTACATGTTACTCTAAAAAGTATTCGACTTCGCGTGGTATGACTCTATAAAATAAAGAACGATACCAATGCTTTCTCGACAAATAATACTCTTCGGAAAGAGTATACAAATATTTTTGTTGAAACATATTCGAATTTCGTAAAAATCCGCGATGTTACTCCAAAAAGTGTTCGATTTCGCATGACCCCCATAGATTTTGCGAGATATTCGTAAAATATGGTCAATTGTTCGGTGGTCACACCATAATTTGTGAAATAAGAATAATCCCAGGAAAGCCGTTTACCGACGTTACCAGTTCATTTGATTTAAAGGAGAGTTCATAGAAATAAAGAAATTCTGTATAAGAAAGTTCACAGACCGGTAGGGATCAGGGAGGCTCCAGTTTGAGAAACGCTGTTACCAGATGATAATACGGCACTGGGCATACATATTGGAATATCGTGGTTACGATACGCGCGTGCAGACGGGATTAGACGAAGCGAGGGCGGCAACCACTAAAATACGTACTTACGCACATATACGCGTATATATGTCACGATGATCAGCTGTAGCGATGTTTACATTTGTGGCGTCCTCGACGACGGTATACCGCGTGGTGGGGTCGCGGCCACTGGCCAGTTCCTTGCGGTCTTTCGACCGGTTGGTATCGTTTTCGTCGTAGTTTCCTTAAATCATTAGTCGCGGCCGGTAATCGTGCTCGCGGGTTCACGGTGAAAGTTTCCGTGGCGTGCCAAGTGGCGTGTGGCGTTCCTGGATATGTCAAATGTATCATCGTTGGTTAAATAGTTGATCGAAATCGGTAAGTGATCGGATAACCGCCGAAAACGTTCGCGGATTTCGCGCGACGACGTTCACCGCTAGAGTATGTTTTGAAAGGTTCGCCGATGGAAAAACTGTGTCGATTGAATTGCCGTCGAAACACACGAGGCTCGAGTGTCGCCACTTCCAATACTTCCAATGTGTCTAGCGTTACCGTGCTTTCGAATTGTCTGATTGCGAGTGGAGCGTTACCGCTGTACAACGTCGCTCAAAAGTTTCGACCACCCTTTGATTAAACGAACATTTATCACCCACACGCGAACGTTTTATCGAGTAGGGTACCACCAAATCGCTGATTTACACGAAACTTTGTTCTTTTTATCGCATTTCTCGCTTTTACGCCCCGTTTTCAAAGTAACGGAGTTCTAGGAATAAATATTAGGACTTGGAGGTTTATCAGAACTTCCTTACTATCCGGATAATTCGTATATCTGAATGAAAAATCTGGATATTATAATGATATTCGGATATCCCAATATAACGAATTAACCCACGATAATTGTAATCCAAGCGAACCGAGAAATATACTATTTGTTACGATGATTGTGACTCTGTACTGTAATTAAAGATTTTAATCATCCATCTGATGTGAAAATGTTCTTGAAAGTCAAAGAAAGTCATCCGGATAATTCGGACAATTAGGATGATACAGACAGCAAAAGAACAAAATACGTAGAACTCCCGCTGTAATTTAAATTTACCGCGATTCTACGCTCCCATAATAATTACATAAATAATGTAATTGAAGTATAATATAGGGTTTGTAGTTATTCGATACAATTTTGTCATTAAAGAATTTTGAAAAATTATTTAATTCTTTTTAGTATTTTTTTTTGGAGTTGGTTAAATAGAAAGAGAAAGTTGTTTAATTAAATAATTAACTGTGTACATTAGATCGATATTGGAATATTTGGATTTTTTGGGTAAACATTTGGATAACGAATACTTCATGACGTCGTTATCCGGATATTCGATTATTCGAATAGTCGCAGCCGTAATGCAGACCGTCGAAAACGAACATTTATGCTGCACGCATATTTATTCGATCATTTTTCAGTATCGTTTATTAACTCTAATATTGAACTTAAGAAGGTGAATTCCTCCTTTTTTAGAACGCGAAAAACATTCGTAGGTATCGATTAGTGTACTCCAATACGAAATTTTGAAACCTTATAACTATAGTTTTCGTAGCAGTTTTATAATTCGATTAGAATGGAACTCCATTTATGCGAACCTGAGAGGAGACAAACAGTTCACATAATCCGCGTAGGTTCATTTAATACAAGTATACTGATTATCCTCACTACTCGTAACTTTTCTTTCAAGTAACCGAAGTTCTCGTTCAGATAAGTGAATTTAATCATACTTTTAGTTCATTCTTCGGATTACAGCAATATTTCAACCTTTATGAACTGGGAAATGATTTACGAGAACAATAATTTCATAAAACTCGGTAAATAAACCATGTATTTAGTTAAACAGTAAAATAACAACTGTAAATATTTGTTACTATTTAATCGACTCGAGGTATTAATACAAAGTATACAATTAACATGAACGTAATTATGATGTCTGTTTTATTAATTGTAAGCAGAATTAATCATTTTTATTTGAGGACTTTACAAATGCCAGATTTAAATCTTTTAACCACTGTAAATTAGTTTTATTGTCTTAGTTTATATATTTCTGAATTAATTAATAACTGCATCTAAAGAATAGGGAGTATCAATAAATTTAGGAACTAATTCATTATCACAATCTTGGCTATCTGTTCCATATTCTGTTTTTCTTATTACATATTATACAGAACGAAGAGCATCAATGTACTTAGGAGCTAATTCATTAGATCACAATCTACGCTATTTGCTCCACATTCTGTTTAGTCTGTTTTCTTATACTGTTTCATCACTTTCGCGTGTCACTTTTGCTATTATTCCATCATCGTTCGTCGAATGTTCACGAACAGGAGCGACGCACGCTTGGCAGTAGTTCAGATAATAGGGGTTCAGTAGAAGTTCGCTAAATCGGACGTTGATGAGAATTTCATTCCAATAAATTCGAGTTCTAGCGTATCTCATTACATTAAAAAAAAGAAAGCAAGTAAAAAAGGCATTAACATATCTATAGAATATACGTATTAAATTATGTTAAAAGGAATTGAGGGGTGTGCATCAATAAGGAGGCAGCTCTATTTTTTCAAATCTTTGCGAAATAAAACAAAAACATTGTAAATTCGAAATTTTTGAAATTTTCTTTCTTTTGCTTTTTCATGTTATCCTTTCTTTTCAGAGTGGCGAGGAGACGATTAATGTTTGGAGCTGAGTTTTAAAAAAAACACTTGAAATTTAAGGGATTTTTCAAATGCTGAAGTTTATTATTTTCGTCAGTACTCGGTATTAGAAACGTAAAATATCTGCCGGTCGCGAATGTGTTAACACTTTGCCTTACGATTTACTCGTGCGCGTCATAGTCAAGTATAAAATTCCTTGCGTACTTTCATAGGACTGCCTGTCTCGTGTTTTTCACGTTCGACTCGAATTCCGTACCACGTGTCCCACACGTTGTTATAGGCTAAAGGGTTAAGTCAAAATATTTACTCGTCATTTTACGATATATTAGTGAGTTTCTTGTTACTTTGAAGCCTAGAATTATGTTTTTCTGAATTGAAACAAATCTGGAAAAGAATTCGTAAACAAAT